ATCTCTTTAGAATTTTAGTATGTTAGCATTAAATCAAGATTCCAACCCTTTGACAATACAAGAAAATATTTTAAGATAAAACTCAAATATATCCTTTTTTTTGGAGTGATTTCTTGTAGAAGACAACAACAATCAAATTTTATCTATACATTGAAAATGAACATCATGATGTATATTGTTGCTCTTTATGCTCTATCTTTACATGGACTTTAATATTTGTTTTCCTTTTAAAAAAAGGCTATACTCATTACCTAGCCACAAACGACTTATTTTTTTCACAAGGTGCACAATGACCTATTCAATATTAAGCTTAACTCGTACTTCTTATCCAAACTTCAAAAAACATAAAAGACAAAACATTAATTCCCAAACACATATGTTTTTTCACATCCATAAACTTGTCGATTTTTTATATTTTCACCATATAAAAATACATTTCACGTGATATGTCGGTTAATACATATCGAAATAAAAAAAACCTTTAATGAATAAATAAATCTAGCAAAACCTATTTCCATCGATGTTTACATCATTGACAAAAAGTTATCCCTATTTTTTCATAAAACTTCTTTTTATATACATACATTCACCGGACACCATCCAACTATAATAAGGTAAATGACAATCATACCAAGCACATGCCTATAGGAGCAAACCTTTTAAGAGCAAATAAACACATTGAAGCATTCATTCAACATAATTATTAAAGGCAATTGATAGTACACCATTTTCTTCTCCTCTTTACATACATGCATTCATCAAACACCCATCCAACTATAATAAGTTAATTAACCATCACACCAACAAATGCCCGTAAGACCAAACCTTTTAAGGGCAAATAAACACATTAAAGCATTCATTCAACATAATTATTAAAGGCAATTGATAGTGCACCACCTTCATCTCCTCTTATTAGTTTATGTTCTTTTTCCTTTTATAGTGTCTTTACATTACTTAGTTTCTAACCAAGCTAATATGGCAACTATAATAACGGATCATAGACATCGGTTATCTTAGAAACCATAATATAATCACAATTGAACTTCTACCACAACCATCGGTTGACCATCTAGAGGTCATCACATATCTTTTCCAAAAAATGATACATCGATTATATTACTTCCTTCCTTCATGATAGACCGACCATTAATATTACTTACTCACTTTCTACGAGTCGTTTGCTTCACCATTCAATTGATCATACCATATATCAATCCAATAAATGGTTGGTGGTATCTAATATTCTCCCGAGTGCCATAAGCTCGCAACCATATCAAAAACCATATTCTTTTGCAAAATACACTAGGAACTCGCAAGATAATCTAATCCCTAGTTTGTCAACTCACACTCTTTTTTTATTCATTTTAATTCATCATTCATTAATAACATATTTTTCCAAAATTTCGTATATAAAATAACGGATACTATATCATCCGCACTATATAGGACAACGCTGCTGAAACCATTATGCTACTCATTAGAGAAACAACTTCAAATCACTTTGGATGGTCATGCAAAGAACTAGTGCACGATCATAGCTACATTGATAGGCATCCAATCCCTTATATTTTGCTTCACTTCTTGAACAAACCAATAATTTTTTATGTATGATGCAACCTTATGTATAACTTAGGATCACAACACTATCTCTACGTTTCTCACGTCTTCAACAATTATGATGCAAACTAGAACGATCCAAGTATAGGTTGCCATTAGTATTAAGCAAATCAAACTATTAACAATAAAGTCCTTACTTGCAATGCTCTAAACCATTTCTCTTATATTATCATTGTTATATATATCTTTATGTAAGCACGTTAGACTTATTAATCTATATAAACAAATCTCAATGTGTTTTTTTCCATAGCTTTTATTTCGGTTATTTAGCAATAACTCGTTATTTCATGGATAATAGCAAACAAACATACTTTAGATAAAAAAAATCATACATACGGGATAATACTATAAAGTCAAATGATTTCCCAAAATAAATCACAAACACATAGCTATGAAAACCACCCACTATTATCCTAATATAATACCATCTCGGTTACTTTTTGTAACTACGGCTCCATCTCTCGTTACTCTATACAAGCGATAACTCTATCTTTGTTACTTTTTGTAACATTAACTCTATCTTTATTACTCTTTATAATTACAAGTCTATCTATGTTACTCTCTATAAGTAGAACTATATCTTTATTTTTTTTTCTATAACTATAACTTTATCTATGTTTCTCTATGTAACTACAATTTTATCTCTATTGCTCTCTATGACTAGAACTCTATATCCGTTATTCTCTATAACTAGAGCTTAATCTATATTACTCTCTATGAATGTAGCTCTATCCGTATTATTCTTTGTAACTAAAACTCGATCTCTATTACCCTTTATGATTTATTACTCTCTTTAACTAAAGTTTAATCTCTTTTGCTCTCTATAACTAGAACTCTATTTGTTACTCTTTATAACTAAAACTTAATCATCGTTAACTCTCTATAACTAGAACTCTATCTCTATTACTCTCTATAGCTACTACTTTATCTCTATTCCTCTTTACAAACACAACACAATCTCTCGTTATTTTCCGTAACTAAAACTATATCTCTTTTACTCTTTGTAATCTATTACTATTTCTAATTATAACTCTTTCTCTCGTCTCTCTTTGTAATTTGTTTCCCTCTATAATTTATTACTTTCATTAACTATAACTCAATCTCTTTTATTCTTCGTAACTAAAAATCCTACAACTCCACATTTGTTGATCTTTGTAATCGAAATGTATCTTTGTTACTCTCGGTAATTAGAAATCTATCTCTATTACTATATATGATTAGAACTCTATCTTTATTACTTTCCATAACTATAACTCAATCTTTGTATTCTTTACAACTACAACTTTGTCTCTCTCATACTAAAACTCTATCTATCTCTACTACTCCATGTGACCAAAACTATATATCCGCCACTCTCTTTAACTAGAACTAATTTTATATTACTCTCTATGAATAGAAATCTATCTCTATTAGTCTCTGTAGTTACAACTATATCTCCGTTACTCTCTGTAACTAAAACTAAATATCTTTTTGTAACTATGAATCTATCTCTCGTTACTTTCTATAACCATGACTTTATCTATGTTCCTCTCTATAACCATCACTCTATCTCTATTACTCTTTGTAGCTACAACTCTATATCTATTTCTCACTATAGATATAACTCTTTCTCTATTACTCTCCGTAACTAGAATTCTACCTCTATTGTTCTCGGTGACTAAAACTCGACATAGAAATAGCTTCAAGTCATTTTCAATGGTCGTGCAAAGAACTAGTGCACAATCATGTGTGCACTAATAGGCATTCAATCCCTCAAATCTTGCTTCCTTTTATTGAAAAATTGATAATTTCTTGTGTACGACGCATTTTTATTTATAGCTCTACATCACAATACCATCTCAACGTTTCTCGCTTCTTCCATGTTGATGACACAAAGCACATTATTTCATGAGTGATGGAAAACAAAAATATGTGCTCTTAGCAGAAACATTATATTTGCATGATGATACTTTAAGGTAATAAGAATTCTTGAAGCGTAGCGTGGGCATATAGCTAGTATATATAAAAGAGATGGATGATGCATGTTGTAAGCGGTATTTTGGCAACTTTTTGATGCCACCATTTGCAATTTTCAATGACTATTTTGCCATTGAAAATGTGAGAAGCTCGCTAGTTTTTCTCCCACATCCACTTTCTATATTATTTTCACACAAAACCATCACGATAGCTTGTAAAAATCCATTTTGGACCTCAAAATATGTTACAATCCACCTTAGAAATCCAAAAAATCGAACTTCCCTCTCCCCCTTTTACATTCAAGGACCTAGCTCCAACGCAAAAAAAAATATATATTTTATATAAATATAGAACGTCAAGACCTAAATTGAAATCATTTCTAAAAAATTACTTAAATTTTTTATCAAAATGCTATCATTGTAATTCTTTTTATCAAAAAGTTGTCGATTCAAGGTAGAAGACTCAAACTAGCCTTGTTGTAAAGGCACTATAGTTGAGGTTTAGCTATAGAAAAAACTTATATTGTGTTTAGTTTCTTTATAACGTAATGAAAAATACAAGATAATCCATTATGAAATGTAATACATATAGTATCATTCTATTACATTATTTTAATTATTTTATTTGTTGTAAAAGTAATCTCATAAAATTGAGTTGACATGATATTTATAAAGGATTTATTCATTTCTTAACTATTAGAATTTAAATCTCAAATCAAATATAGAGACAATTTCTAAATTTTGACATTATGGCTAAAAAAAATATTTTTAATGAAAAATTATATGATACCACGATTGTGCTAACTATAGCGTCTTAACTCCGCTAGAGAGTGAAAAAAAAAAAAAAACACATCTGAACCCGGAAAAAAAAAATAATAATAATAAATAATATTATCAATCAGAAAACGGCACAGATTGATACAATATTAATCTCTCTATTGTCTATCTATTTCTCTAAACTTACAAGTGGGGCCAACAACCGTTGCATCAGAAGATTACTCCATGCTTGCCAATCTAATAGCCTTAACGTAGATCCGAAGAGGGCGTAGAACCAAAAGAAAAGGAGGGGAAAAAAAAAAAAAAAAAGCGAAGGGCCAAAATGGGAAATACGTTCGAATTCTCACTAATTTTTAAAACGTCGTCGTTGTGCGAACTTTATTCAATCCTCCACTGTCCTGGCGTGCCTCTCCTCCCAATCTCCGTCAAATACGATATCTGAAATCCTCAAGGCTGAGAAAACCCCATTCCTTCCTCGTAATTCATAATAGCGAAACGAATTACAACCTTTGTTTTTTTTTTCTTTGCCTCTCGTCGCTTATGTTGATAATGCAGAAGCAATGATAATCAGCAAAATGAAGTAATGAAGCTTATTCAAGTCTCTTCCATTCAATCTAGAGTTTCATTTGTTTCCGTTAATGTTAGACCCTTATGCACTCTCTCCGTTTCAGCCCACAAAAAGATAAGCGCTACCAACTCAAACTCGCTTTCAGGTATGTTATCAAACACGTGTCCATGTTTATGAACTGTTCTGCAGCTACACTTTCGGGGTGTTTTAAAGAATTGGATTTCTCTTATTGCTTGTTGTGATTGATTTCTATTTATGTTTTGGAGATTTTATTGCGTGGGTTTGTTAGCATTTGATTGTAAAATTTTGTAAGTTTTCTAAATTAGCTGGGGGTTGAAAGTTGTAAGCTTTTAGGGTGGTTGCCAGTCAAGGATTTGCTTATTTGTGGTTAGTTGGTGTACTGTTTTGGATTATCTATGCTGTGAATGTAGGTGCTAAACTAGTTTCTGGGAATTGGGGAAGGAAGTTTTGATTGTATCGTTCTGACTTTGCATGAAGTGTTTGATTGCTAGCCTGGTTACAAGCGCAAGGCTCCTATCATTGCAGAAATAATGACATTTGATGTAAGGAAGATCACATGTTTAAAAATGAAACCCTCAATTAATTGTTCCATTCAGTGTCCCTAATGTGCTTGATAATTCTGCTAGAACAGCAGGGCACCCTATGTTTGAGCTTGATCCCTCCACTAAGCAGCAAAATTAAAATGAAAGAATATGACTTTTGTTAAGAAAGAGTGAATTCAGTTCTTTTCTATGATAGAGAAAATCAGGTACATTCCATTGATTTTTTTTTATTTTTTTATTTTCTAGATCTGAGGCTGTTTGATTACGTAGCAAGAGTTGAATATGGTTCATTTCTTGAGAAGGGGGATACATTATTTTTGCTTGTTGATTACTTCTGACGATCTTCGTTTGTAGTTTAGCAATATCTTTTGATGCTATATGAGACCAAGAGTGTGCTTGTATATATTATGAAGAAAATGCATGCACTCATTTTTCTGAGCTCATTCACTTTTGCTACTTCTTATAGTAGGTTTATTATCCTGCTGGAAAAATGTACTGTATATACTGGTTATTCTTTTTTGATCCAACTTTTTGACTCATCTTCAATGCAGAACAAGGCTTTTGTGGTACCAATCCACCAAATAAAGGAACTATCAACAGCCTGATTTTCTTGACAATGAGCAAGGCCTGCTTAAACAAAGTTTACAGCATTCACCATTACAAGGTGGCTTCACTGTCCCCGAGGAGAAGGTATGGAACTGGATCTTACAGAATATTTTACACCTGCTCTGAACCTCCGATCTCTCGAACAGCCCCTCTCATAGCGGCGCCCCCTCATCACTAGTTTTGACTGCATGTTTTACCCAATCTGATGCACCCCAACGCTCAGAGGAATGGTTTGCCCTTAGGAAGGACAAGCTGACAACGAGCACCTTCAGCACTGCCTTGGGTTTTTGGAAGGGAAAGCGTCGTGCTGAGCTCTGGCATGAGAAAGTGTTTGAGTCTGAGACACGAGTCCTTGAAACTTCTGCTAACAGTGCCATGCATTGGGGTGTGCTTAATGAAGCAGAAGCAATAGATCGTTATAAAAGCATCACAGGTCGTGAGGTTAGCTCATTGGGATTTGCAACCCATTCAGAGGAGCAATTTGATTGGCTTGGTGCTTCCCCTGATGGTCTTCTTGGCTGCTTTCCTGGAGGGGGCATCCTGGAAGTCAAGTGTCCCTATAACAAGGGGAAGCCTGAAAGGGGTCTGCCTTGGTCCACTATGCCTTTCTATTACATGCCTCAAGTGCAGGGGCAGTTGGAGATAATGGATAGAGAATGGGCGGATTTGTATTGCTGGACACCAAATGGAAGCACAATTTTTCGTGTGTGTAGAGACCGCAGTTATTGGGAGATAATACATGGGATTTTACGGGAATTTTGGTGGGAAAATGTGATTCCTTCCAGGGAAGCTTTGTTGCTTGGAAGGGAAGAGGAGGCCAAGTCATATATGCCAGCATCTACACACAAACAGACTGGACTTGCCATTGTTAAGAGCTTGAAGTTAGCTGCTGAGTCCAAATTGCTGTGTAGGGAGATTGCAGGTCATGTTGAATTTTTTAGGTGATGAAGTCCTAAATTATATTTTGCAGTATATCACTCTTAGAAGTAAGCTGATCGACCATGCTGGGACCACCCTTCTTGCTATTTTCTTCTACCAACTCTTCTCTTTTCCTTCTCCCTATTCTTGCTTGAACCACCTATTACCCCAACAAGCATGATGGATCCTCCATCTACAACAGTTTCCTTCTGCCACTGCTTTTGTTCCTTTCTTCTAACCTTCAATGTCTGTTTGCAAGAGTTCCATCACCTTTTATAACTTTTTTTGCTCACAAGTGGAACAATATGATGTATGATGTTCGAGGATTTGCAGAAATTAAGCACTTAAGAGCCCATGAACGAGAGAAATGAGGTTGGACAATTGGAGGAGCAGCAGGATGAGATAACCAAGTGCAAAGGTTATGCCAGCATGGTCGAACAGTTTGCTAATAAGAACTGATGAACAGAAAACTTCAAGCAACAATGGAGCTCTCCCTTTTTTTGGTTTCCATTTATGACTCGATCCGTCATTAATCCCTCTAAAAGTTAGTCAGCCCATTAATTTTAGTGAATATTTGTTTATCTTTCTTTCTGGACCTGCTTGAAATTGTGATTGACCTTTTCCAATTATGAATTGAATTCCGGAATTCGTGTTGATGTAGTTATATATGCTGGTTTCTGGTACAACAGATTTTCGGGCCTCTACAAGGTGGGTGGATGAGGCAAGCTTTGTGAGGAACTTGCTTACGAGAAAGACAACGTATTTCTGTGATAGTCATTCCCTTCTAAAATCAGGCTATATTGATTTGAGTAATGGAATGTTCTTTAAAAGAATCGGTTCTCAGTACGGTTACATAATATGAATTTATGAATTTCCTATGATTTCTAAAATATGTGTTAAGTGAATGAGAATCTATTCTTAAAATATAACATTACTCCAATTGACAAACCAGTCTAAGTTGGGCAGGCTTTAATTTGATGGCACAGACAATGCAGCAATCTGTAAGGTTTGGCGTGGATATTTGGGTGTCCTATACAGAGATGGACATTCAAATTCATGGACAGCTTGTTTCCCGAAATGACTTTGACATTTTTAAGGATGATACGCTTGTCAAGTGTAAGAAGATGGCCAACTTAATCGATATGTGGGCTAAATTAAGACGGGATTGAGCTAAGATAAGCAAATGGCGATTGAGACCTCTGTCAGAAACTGTCGGAGCCAAGATAACTAATTCCTCTATTCAAATGAGATCACAATTGGTGTAAAAAAAGCGTTGACCCGTTGAATTTGAGCCAAATTTGCGTAGCTCTCCACCCAAAATGTCCGTGTCATATGAGAAGGAATAAAGACAGCAACAATCTCTTAAAAAAAGTAAAAGGCCCTCGACATAAATTTCTAAACAATGCTCATCCAGGAATATTTGAGCAGGGATAAAGAAGGGAAAGAGAGATGAATTCTGAGCTATCCTGGGCAGATCAATGGGATTATAACACCCCCGACCCTCCGCCGCAGTCATCATCAAACAATGATGACAAAAAGGGGAAGGATGGCAACAAGAAGAGTTTTGGCAAGAAAGTGTTGAGCTTGGCCTGGATGAAAGATCTTCGTAAGAAATCTCAGAAATGAACATGACTGATTTGATCATGTTCCTTCTTTCATTCCTTGAGAGAATCCTTGTCATCCAACTTCCACTTCCTTTTAAACAATACAGCTTCTGTTAATTTGTCACTTCATCTATGAATCAATAACGAAGTTTATCCTATCTTCTTTAGATTGTTTGAAGTTATAACTTCTAGTCCTTTTTTCTTTCATTCAATCAGACTGGTACGTACGTATACCTTCATTCAACGCAGGATATCTCCAATAATTCTATATCCCCATTTTGTAAAATGTTACGCCGTAACTAGATTCTGTTGCTGGATGCTTCTACCATCTCCCCATTCAATATTGACTTTAGGTCAGGCAATTCGGATAAATCGCTTGGAATGCTTGCTCCGGGTTTGATTGCATGTGTGTACAATTTGCTGCCAGCTTCTATGATACCCTCAATGTTTAGTATGAACTTAGAAGCACTGATTTTAAAACTTTCATTTGAACAATCCAACAAGTGCAGCAACGTATACTGCATTATCAAAGTGAGGCCTTAGAAATTTCCCCGGGTTTTCTTCTGCTCATGTTAGAAGAGATAGAAACTTTGAAGCTCATGCCTTTGAAGAATTTGAGAATTTGGATGGAAGATGTCCAATTCTCTTGGCAGAAAACTAATTGCAGAGCTATAACTGAACCAATCAGCTTCAGAATTAGCAGCTCACCAGTAACAACTTAAGATTATCACATTTATCAGTTGGTTCGTAATCCGCAACTTGCTTCCGACAGAATAATACAAGATCTTTGCTAGTAATTTTCAATTACAAGCATCAAAAGCTAGTAGTGATATAAAAAAGTTGTCAGTGGCATTGCCCGTTGGCAATGAACTTGTACCTCTGACAGTCGACAGTACCTTTGCTATGAGGGATGAGGATTCTAATTCAAATTCTACCTCTATCAATCCATAATTAATTAGTCGCATTAAGGGGAAAGGACGAACAGACGTGAAAGAAGAAACGGAAGCAAACCAGACAACTGAAGAATATTGCTGGTGCAAAATTCGAGCTTTTCTTAACATCCAGCGCTAATAAAGTATGAAACACAGTGGACCTTTCTCCCTAACATTTGGATGCCCAAAAGGAATATCTTGTAACTTTTTAACATATATGATTCCCAAAGTACCACTAGAAAGCATAAATCATAAATTCAAGGCATATTCTTTGTAACAGTTGGGCACCATAACATCTTTCTTCAATGAAAGGACAAAAGTACTATCCCCATTATAACAATGTTAATACATTAACAACCATGGTAGGGAAAAGTGTATTGTTCATTCTACATACAAGGAAACAAGCTAGGAGCCAAGAATAAGATCACAAATGAAACTAGCAATGAATTAGAACTAGAAGCAGTAGATCTCATACTCCCATGGTCCAAAAGCTGAAACAGCTTGCAAAATAAAGGATCGGTCTGAAACTGAACACCATATACCAATAACGGTTAAACAGAGGTCAGCATCTCATTATATCATAAACAGCAGGGCAACAGATCACACTATTCAGGCGACAGAGAGACCATGCATGCCTCTGCTTCGCAGATAGAGAATAATCCAGCGCTTGCTCTGAAGGGGACAATATACAAGTTTATTAGGAAGAATGACCAGTCTCACAGTTTGACATGCCATTTCCATCATCAACAAATATATATAACCCTGAAAGCGCTCAATGTGCCACACCCTACTTCCACGCAGGTACATATGCCAGCTATGAACATCACACAGGTGAAACGGATGTCTATTCTCTGGAATTTATTACATGCCATAATAAAAGAAACCAGGTACACGAGAGACACTTAACTGCCAAGAGCATATGGAGAATCAACCAACCACTCAAAATCCAATGCTACCTGTTCTCTTTTCTGTTGCTCTTGTCATCATCATCTTCTTCTTCTTCTTCTTATTTTTCTTTTTCTCTTTTTTTTTTTTTTTTTTTTTGGTTGCTTCTCCTTTTCCACAATAAAATAAATTCAGGTATACTTGACCAGAAATGCACCTATCCCAACTTGAAGTCTGACAGCTGCACGTCACCAGACTCAGAGGGAAAAACAAGATAGAAAGGGAGCCATTATCCTACAAGGCTGCCTCGCATTTTCTTCTTAGATTCTCAATCACCAATTCTGGACTAGTCAACAGAATGCAGGAGCAGGCATATCCGTCTCTAGCCATGAAGACGAAGGCTGCAGCAAGATTCTTGGAGCTCAGGAGATTTGAGTGGGTCAAGCTGCTTCCAACAATCTGAACAAAGCAACTCCAGACAAAAAGTTTCCTCGTATTCACTGTCATTAATACACCGGCCACACTGAACACACCGTGCAATGCAAAGGGTGCAAGCCCTGCAAGCCTGAGAGGGATGCTCTTTTTCTGGCAACCCTCTGCAGGGCAATCATAAAGCAGCCTCAGGTTCTGGCATCTTGGGCATATTTCAATATCAATTGCACGATCATCCTCACATGACAGATAAAAATTTCCTCTGTGATAAAGATGTGGCTTGTGAGCATTCTGTTGGATGTGCCTATCTGGGCCCAACAAGAACGTCAACTCTTCAAAATGCTTCTGCGTCACACCATAGAGCCCGCCAATGCGTAAATGCTTCACCCCATGAACCCCCATAGTCTTGAAAGCCTTTAAGGTCGCCACGACACCCTCGATGCTGAGTCTTGTACATCCAGGGACACTCAACTGCACGTAAAAAGATAAGGAAAAAAGATAATAAATATTAGCATCTTATCGAATCAAAAGAGAAATATAATGTAACAAAAAGAGGAAAAAAAACTGACAAAAGAGTACAGAGAGCTCATAAAAAGAAATCGATGTCCAAAAAAACTAATCAGAAGTTGGCACCATGGAAATAAACTGGTCTCCAGTGAATCTCAATGTCTGGTCATCAATAGCCAGAATCATAGTACAATAAGGTTGCATAGGAAATATAAAGTGGGCATAACATGTAAGAGCAAGATCTTCAAATGCTTAGGCTCGCAGCCTTTTTTTCACTGTTTTTAGTGCATTTATTAGTCGCCATAAATGGGAAAGGGACTTATTAATTTACATCAGTCTCGTGTGTTCACCAGTAAAAACCATTTCGCACAAACTTGTCCACTAAAACTGGATAAACCATGTAGAAGATGAAACATCAGAATGAACCAACAAAAGCTCTACACTGCTAGTTACCTATTTCAGAAGACAGCTGCAACAAATTACAGAAAATGGTAGTTGCACACCTACATAAAACATGCTCACTGTTTTTTGCTTGTAACATATATTTCTAAAGATTTGATAGAGCACATGACATTTTCCCAAAGATGTTGCATCCTGCCTGTCAAAATTTGCGAGTAGAAAATATTTAATCACAGCTCTACTGTATTAACTACAAATAATTTTACTCCTTTAGCTGCTTTCCTACTTCAGAATTAACTATGACTAATTGTCTTCCATGCATCTATAACCACACTACACACTCAACTCTCTTCAAAAAAGGTCTATAGAATAATCAGCACTAGCAGTAAATAAGAAATAATCAAAGGGAATTCGCCAACCAAAAGGGTTAGAGTTCCACAGTGCGAATTAAAAACCAAGTACCAGAAAGTACCAGAAAGTATTCTGGCTCTAGAATAAGAGGAAATCCTGAATTGTACTGATTGTAAGATCCAAATAGATATTTTAAAACCAAAAACGAAAAAAGAAGAGCAGAGCATGATCTTATTTGGGTCAAACAGCTAAAATAAATACAAGTTTGGCAATTAATTAACTTACAGGTAGGAAATTAACAAATCTTTCAACGTCCCAACAAACAAAAATTGAGATTGAGGAAACAATACAAGAAACGAAGTTAGATGAACATGAACTCACCTTGGTCAGCCTTGGATTATTTTCGAGCACATGCTTCAACCCATCATCAGTAACCCTTGGACACTCCACTAGGCTCAAGCATTGCAAGTTGCCTTGAGCCCTACTAGTTAATTGCAAAAGAACATCATCAGTGATCTTCTCATTCAATGGTTGATCTATGTGGATACTCCTCCATAAAAGTGGGTCACTACGAACGGTAGTATGCAAGGATTTGCAAACAGTTTCAACAAGAAGAAGATCCCGCACACCCAGATAACCAAGAGCAAAATAAAAGGCTGCATGAGGAGCTCCTTTATCTCCATCAGAACAAACCACATGACCCTTTAGAATTTCTCCACTGCTCTCATCCACAACCCTAGCATTTTTATCATCTATGATTTCATTCCCCAGACTCAAAACATCCTCCATGTCACAATCTGATCCAAGAGCCTCATGAGGAGATGCATTCCCAAGTTCCTTCGCCTCTGGACACTCATCACCAAACCCACCCACTACATTAGATTTACAACCAAACCCCATGTTCCCAGGAAATGCTTGAAACCTCATGGCATTATTCCAAATAAAATTCAAGCCAGCAAACAACTGATAATTCCCATCACTCGTGGAAACCTGATCCCTGCCATATGCACCATAGTCCACCTCCAAATCCTCAAGCCACCCAGTAATAGCAGTAAATGTGGTACTTATATCCATGCCAAAGGGATCCGATGGCAAAAGATCAAGAATATCCTTATGCACAGACTCCTGTGAGCCACTCCTATCCCTTCCATAATCGAAATGATCCTCAACTTTCTCCTGTATTGAAATCCTCATCGGTGAAACCATATTATCCTCAGATATACGAGGAGGAAAGAGGGGTCGATGAGAAAAATTCAATGCCATTCTAAGCTAACCTGATCCCAATTTTTTATTTTTATTTTCTGTGTATGTTTACAAGATATATTTAGCAAACTCCAAAGGACAAAAAACAAAAAAAAGGAAAAAAGGAAAAAAGAAGGAAAAAAAAATCAAAGATAGAAAGGAGAAGATTGAGTAAAAGGGATCTAACAAGAAAACCCTCGATTCCGGATAGCAAACTAAAACAACGCAACCAAAAATTTCACAGAGTTTCTTGTTATACGTACAAAACATACAATGGGAAATTTAATCAATCAAAACGCCGCTGTTTTATATATACAAAATAAGAATCAACCAATCAATTTTTTTTCTTTTTCTTTATCAATTAGGGTTTGCAATAAATGGAATATAAAAACGAAAAGACTGATCAATCAAGGAACGTAATTAAAAAGAAAAGAACCTGAAGAAGAACGCGCGATAATCGAATGAAATTAAAGAAGCAAAACCCTAAATTGGTTTCTCCCAGAACCAATCGACAGTCTCTCCGCGAATTGAAGAAGATACAAAGCAAGAAAGAACGGAGCTTCTCTTTTATTATATTTTTTTTCTTTTCCAGATAGAGATGCGAAATTAAAAGCCGAAAATAGGATATATTTTGGGGATTTTTTTTAGTATTGAAGGGCTTTATGTTTTGTATTTTTCTGGTGGGGAATTCGATACAGGGAGGGAGAGAGCGTCGACGGAGCGAAGAGAGAGAGAGAGAGAGTTATAACAGAAACAAAAGGGAAAAATATGAGAATCGAGAAAGTGAAGGGTAACGGTGAAAGTGTCCCCATTTTAGGGGAGAAAGAGAGAGATAGAGGTGTGAATTTGACACGTGTAGACGTGGTAATTTTAACAGGGAGGGTAAATTTTTACTCTTTCTTCGCACGCCAGGTTCGTGGCGGGAGATGCACTTCGTCTCGCTACTCCCCCTCCTTCTGCTTCTCCTTCGTGTCACGTGCGTCCTTCTTAGCACACCCTTGTTTTTACCTTATTTTTCGGGTTTTAATATTGGTTCCACCACAGTTCTTTTCTAACCTATTGTCTGTTTTTTTATTTGATCGCTTAACCACCGTACATTTTTCTATTTGGTTTCATAAATTATTTTCATTATTTAGATAATAAAAGATATTTGAGTATTTTTTTTATTGCGAGGCATATAAATTAACTATTTTACTTATATGTGGAATGGATATTGGGATAAAAGGCATTTAAGATGACTGCAGTATAGATTAATTTTTCATCTTATCAAAAGTTGATAGAAAAAGATGGAAAGGCTAATGAATAACAGGTAAAAGGAACTTTTCTGAAAAAGAATTAGTTTATTTTTTGATTCAACGAATAGACTATTTTTAAATCAATTTGTATCCTAATTGAAATTAATTTTTTTAGATGTGATTTTAAAAATGCATCATCTGAACTGATGTATTTATAAAAAAAATATATATATTTTTGAAATTCTGTGCGCAGAGTTTAGATCTAGAAGTCAAGTAATAAAGCGTGTGTGAAGGTTGACAATGGAAGGACGGATGGATTTTTGGTGCCAATTTAGGTAATGTTTGAAAGCACTTTGTGGTTTTGTGGCCGTCGGATTGATATTAGAGGGGGGAGCAAAAAGGGTTCTAGGTTTGACTAGTTGTTAAGATGGGTGAGACTGCGTCGTCCTTACCTGATAGACTATGGATTGATGGGCCCACGGTGTTTGGTGGCACGGCGTGGTTGGTTCTCCAGTATGATTCCTATGATAAAGATAGACCGTAGGCAGACCAGTGCTCTCCTCATTTTAATTTTAATTTCAATTTCGAGTCAATTTTTTGACAGAATTTTAAATAATACAAAACCATCGTACCATTGCTCAGTACGAAACATTTTCTTATAAATAGCGATCTTAATTGTCTTGTAAGTGATAATGTTTTTGATATCCTACTCGGTAGTAATACTATAAATTTAAATGACTTTGCTGAATGGAATGTTATTGTTGTAATATCTTGACGAAGCACTTAAAAACATACACAAGAGTGCAATAATACAGACCTTCCAACATTAAATTACCTATAAACAAAAATTGCCAACGTTATTAGAGTTATGTTCTGCTTTTTGACTCTAGAATATTAGGATGTGTTGAGCTAAAAGTCAGAATTCTAAGCATATTAAAAGTGCAGATTCTGTCTTAACACTTAAGCAGACTCGCAGAGGGTTCCTAAGCCACTACTTAGCAAATGGTATTTGTCCCATAGTTAGTGGTGAGACCATGGTGCAAGCCAAAAGCTGCGTGAGTTTCACCCCATCGTCAATTTTCTGGGGGGTTACTATGCATATTATGAATCTTTTAAATTATTTTAAGAGCAAATATATTATATAATATTCAAATTTTTTCATTTGTTTTTGAATTTTCAATTGTATTCCATCAATTTTTGAATTTTTAAAAAATATTTAATCTATCTTTTTTATTAAATTTTTCGACCATGGTTTTTCTAACTAAAATATCTTTTATACATTTTATTAAAATAAAAAAAAACTTAAAAATCACATGATCTATATATTTTATTTCTTTCATCGATAAATAAGGAGTATTTTGATTAAAAAAATTATCTTGTTGAAAAATTAATCGGAAAAACAAATTAAATATTTCAAATATTTTTAAAGATAAATAAAATGTAATAAAAAATCTAAAAACATATAAAAGATTTTAAACATTACATAAAATATATATAAATATATTTATTATTTTTAATTAAATGAAAGATTTTATATATTATATAAACACTTTTAACTTTTATTGTTCAACTTATATAAATTTTGGTATTCACTAATCGCTTAAAAAAAAATATTATGTTGTTTGTGTTATATAAGAAAACTATATTCCTCTCCATTTAACATTTAGAAATAAACCTTATGATGAGAAAAAGTATTTAAAAGTGAAATTAATTGAATGTTCGAGAAAAATAAATTTATAGATAGTATCATCACCTATGAGAAATTTTATAATACATAAGAAGTAAATATTGTACATGTCACTTAGAAAAAATTTTATAATACATAAAGAGCAAATAATGTACATATCATTAATTACTCAATAAATCTATTTTGACAAAAGAGATAGATACAAAAAAATAAATTAAAAAATTAAAAAAATTAAACAAAAAATAAAAATCTTCTTATTATTTTTAATAAATTCATAATTCAATATATCTGTTTCTTTTTTAAAATGAATTCTATTTTCTCGATCACGTACGCCCTTGGCTACAAGAAACAATATCTTTGTCTTCAAATTTTAGAAGATGCCGAAGGAATCCTTCGCTGCTAAGTTCTCAGAGGTCAAAGGCATCCCGTCCTAAGCATCGCAAATATTGAAAGCTAAAGTTACCAACTTCAAACGCAAGACCCTCAACCAAAGGGAAGAGTGGATGCCTCTTGCAAGTCCTGATAGATTTTTATTTATTTTTTCATTGCCGTAGATATTTTTGAGTTCGTATTTATACTTTTTTCAATTAAGTTCATATCTCTAATATAATTGAACAAAAATTTTATTTCCCATAACTTGATTTGAGATTTGGGATAGACAAAACAAACATATGAATGATCTCTTTAATCCTATCTATCAAGTATTTATTATTAAAAATTGACGTGAATGTCATAAAATTTTGATAAAAAAAAGCGACCATAGTTTGGTCTTAAACAAATATATTAATGGATCATATATAAATCACAACCTAAATTCTATATAACTTGTATGGAGAAACTTCCAAAGGTTTTGAATATCTGAAGTTTCAAACTTTTTGAAAGTTCAAGCTACACAATATAAAAGATATTAGAGATAATCTTGAAATATAATCCTTTATTAGAAAAAGAGGTTGTCTAATTGTCATTCTCAAAAAGCGAGGTTGAGGTTGTATAATTGTCAACCACACAATGATTTATTAATTTTCAAAAAATCATTGTAACAATTTTTCAACTCAAGAAAATTAATCGAGAGATAGTCAAGACTAACTAAAATATAATTCAATTTTCAATATGGTATGTTATGTTTTTGTTTTTGTTAATTTTTTAAAAAAATTTATTTTAAAGAAGTGATTTAGTGGTCAAAGAAGTCTATTTATTCTCTTAACTTTTTGAGTTATATCTATTATTTTTCTGAGAAGACTTGAGTTTTTATTTTAAGACCAACATTTAATGGATTTTTTTTTTTTTATGCACCAAATCCATGTGAAAGATTCATTCTTAAGATTATATTTTAAAAAAGGAAAATAAAAAATGTCGCCGATATATTGATGGATGATTATAACAATAGCAGCGAATAGATGATAGATCCCCAAGCAAGTGGAATTGGATTGTCGAGGCCCAGAGACCCAAAATCTCGTGGAAATTTAGCCCATAGTCCCTATCAATGAGCAATCGACAATAAATGAAGGTGGCCTGGGCCTGCAAATACATCATCATCCTCGTCACCATCTCCGCCCTTTGGAATAAAATCAAGGGAAGGTCAATTGTCGTTTTCCTTTAAGCTCCGAAGCTACCTAAAATTTCCCTCCCAATTGCAAATCTTAATTTGGTCTCCAGAGAGAGAAATGGCAGAAATTCAGAGCGAGAAAACGAGCAAACACAAGAGAGAACGAAACCTACTGGCCTTCACTGGAGCTGCTGCTCTCGCTGCTCTTGCTGCTCTTGCTCTTAACTTCGCTGTCTCCGCCCTCAACTCCCGCCGCAAAAAGTCAAACAAGAAAGGTTTTTCTCTTACATTTTTCGCTCTTTCACTTCGTTCTGCTTTGTTGTCGTTTCTATCTAATTACTTGCAATTTATTCGTGCTTAAGTAGATCTTTCGGGGTCTAGTGTTCGCATCAATCTCTCGGCATCTGAGATTCTCAAATTAGCTGATCGAATCATTGCCAAGTCCAAAGAGGTTCACGACGCTGTTGCTTCAGTTCCTCTTGACAAGGTGTTCTTATTTTTTTTTAATGCAATTATACTCTTATTTTTATGTCATAATTTCCGTTGCTGTTATTTTGTAAGTTTATGGCTTTGCAGTCTATTTTTATAGATTTGTTTATGCGTATCTCCGGTGGATTAAAACTTGCAGGTTACATATGCGAATGTAATTTCGCCCCTAGCAGATTTGGAGGCACAACAATTTCCGCTGGTTCAGTCTTGTGTGTTTCCAAAGTTGGTATCCACTTTAGAAGATGCGCGGAAAGCGAGTGCAGAAGCAGAGCGCAGAATCGATGCTCATGTTTCCACGTGCAGGTTTGATTTGTTTCTTCTCGTTCTTTTGCACTGCATTCTCTTAAGAAAGGTTGGTGCCACTTTTATCTGCGTTTGCGAAGGAGAGGCAGAGTTGAGTTATATAGAGGAAAGAAATATTAGCTAGCTGTCTATAAGATGGTTCAGGTGCATGCATGATGTTGCAATGGGGTTTAATATTAAGACAATGGTCCTTTTATACATGCATGTTTGGATTATATATGGTAAAAACAATGTTATGTGTCCATCATTAAATTGTTCATAGTTTAGTGTCTGGGTTTTGACTAGTGCTTTTCAGTTTTTGACCTAATTCATGCAACTAAAATGTTAGATTATCGTGATTGGATGATTGAGACTCACAATAACAATGTTTAGATGGGCTTATGGGATGTCCTTTACTGTTTTATTTAGTTAAGGCTATTAAAATGCATGTAGCTTGCTTGAAAAAAGAAAGAAAATAGCCATAGAAAGTGTTTTAATGGTGTTCAATGAGGTGGCTCGATTCGTGATGCTTCTTCAAAGTATTCAGAAAGATCACTATGGCAGGCAATGGTGACAGGTAAGGTTGTGTGGTGGTTCTCAGGAAAACATTGCAGTTGTTTTAATGTAGGGCATGGTTGAGACTAAGCCAGGATAAATCTTAAATCAGTGGCTTTTAGTTGGCGCAAGTCTTTCAGTTGGTCTGTCAAGAAAGTTTAGCAGTGACACTGTTAGCATTTGTGTTAGAGGAGCTGCCATAATCATATATTTTGGCTTACTCTGGTTGTAAATGTAAAAATGCAATATTGTTAAATTAAAAAGTTTGGAAATCCAAGAGTTTTGACTGCATACAAAATTGAACACTGTCTTGTTTCATGCTGATCAGTAAACGTGAAGACGTATACCGTGTTGTGAAAGCTTTTGCTTTAAAGGGGGAGTGGACGAATCCTGAAGCAAAACACTACATTAAATGCCTGGTAAGGAAATTTATACGGCTTTAGTTTCTTCCAGGCTTGGAACCTGATTTACAGTGCTTGATTTAGTGGTATTTGCACCCCCTGAATCAGCATTAATCTTAGAAATATAAGTATCTTTAATTTGATCCTTTCTCAGGATTCCTGTAAGCCGCATAAATTTTCAATCGAAGCATTGATTTTTTCCTGATCAGTGACAGGTCAGAGACTTTGAGCAGAATGGTTTGAATCTCACTGTTACGAAGAAAGAGGAAGTGCAGCGCTTGAGGGCTAAAATTGAAGAGCTAAGCTTGCAATACATTCGCAATTTGAATGATGATAGCAGTTGTCTTCTTTTCAGTGAGACAGAGCTGGTTGGATTACCTCCAGAGTACCTTAAGGTACTCTTACTATTCATTTCCTTTCCTTGGTTTTTTGCTCTTCAGTCCTCAAATTTTAACCATCTGACGTCATATGACTTTAAAGTTTACATAGGAAACTCACAGGCTCCTTTCTTGGACTTGTATAGCACCTGTGGAAATTCCCATAGTTAATAACAGTTTGCTGCTCACTTACAAGTGGAGGATTCTCTACGGTCTAGAGACAGTAATTTGGAATAATGTTTCTTTTTCTTCTTATTAATATATATATATATATATATATATATATATATATATATATATAAGGAATGATTGGCCCGAAGCGTCCGAACCACAATTATTTAATATATTTTTGTAAAGATAACTGGCATGGGGAATTTAGCTGAGAAATGAAAATAGCTTGAACAAGGGGTATGGCTGAAAATGGAATGAAGTGGATGCTTCAAATAAATATCTTAATGGTTGGAAATTTTGGAAAATGATATTGACTCACCATGTTCATAGTGCTGAAACTTTTTCCATTACAAACAGATCCACAGTTTGTACACGAAGCTTTTGATTTTTGTTAAACCTTAATATGCAAATTATATCCCAGGGAAAAACAAATACAAACTAATAAAATTTGTTGAATAAGCTCTGCATTGTCTTTCTATCAGTCAGATGAATTGTCCCTTATGTTTGTCTTGTTGAATTGGAACTACTTCACTCCTTTTCAGAGCTTAGAAAAGGCTGGAAATGGCTATTATAAGATCCCATTGAGAAGTCATAATGTTTTAGCATTACTGGAGCTTTGCCAGGTATGATCTTATGGGTTTCTTTTTTTTGTGCCTTGTCACCCCAGCTGGTGCCAACTTTTTTCTTTCTTGTTTTAAACCAGCATAGTCTACTGCACTACAACTTTTGACAAGAAAGTGTTTTCATATTGCACCTACTTTTTAATTTTGTTTTTGGATTCAGTACACAACTTTGATGCGTTTTAATTGAGTATATATTCTGGAAAGTTAGCATGTATGTTTGCATGATCTATTTTGAGCCTGTGAAGGTAGGAACAACAAGGAGGATGGTTGCTGCAGCATATGGGAAGAGGTGTGGAGAAGCCAATCTTTCTGTGTTAGAAAGTTTGGTAAATATCGTACATTTTTCTGTCTGGGGTCATAATTTGTTTGAAATTGGCAGAATGCCATATGGTTTATAAGATATAGAAAATTGAAGCTATGCCCTTTTCTCTTTAAGCTAAAAAGTTATAATTTTCAAGAAGGGAAATTTTTAATGGAATATTAATCTGGCATACAATGCTGAATTTTTGGCAATAAAACTTCTAAAATGCAGCGTCACTGGTTTTAGTTGCAACCATACAGTTATGTACTGCTTTGTCATTTGGACACAACTAAGGTATTTTAAGTGTTAAGGTGACTCATATTTTAATTTAAAGATTCTTTGGTCTGAAAACTTCTTGGAATAGTTTTGCATGGAATAAAACTTTGTTTGTTGCCAACTCTAGAATGTATCTGTATATCAAATTTTATAACTGCTGTTGTCATTTGCTCACGTCTCTTATAATACCCTTTTGAATGAATTTTTATGCTCTGTATTGTAGGTTGAATTGCGCCATAAATATGCTAGGTTATTTGGCTATTCAAACTATGCAGACTATGCTGTTGATCTAAGAATGGCAAAGACATCCTCAAAGGTTAGTGTGATGTTGTTTCCTTAAAGCAATATTACATATGATGTTCATTCTGAATGACAAGGCTAAAAAGTGAGTTTGTGTGATTTCATTTCCGTAA